CATATAGCAGTACTTTTAAATGAAAAGCGCACAATACACTACTTTTGAATGCATTATTGAATTTTGTGCATACCAATGCGATTCATCGCGATCAATCGCAGACAATCATGTGATTAATCGTGATTAAAAAATAAAATAAAAAATTAATCGTTGCCCAGCACTAATATATATATATATATATGTGTGTGTGTGTGTGTGTGTAAAGAAAATAATGTTTAACATAACTAAATTATGAAAGAAGGAAAACAGTACAGAAGTAGATCAGAAAAATATAATAAAAAATCGAATAAAAAAGTAGCCAAATTAACAACAATTCCAAATAAAAATCTTCATTCTAACAATTATTTCAGCATAATAAAGCCTGGTTGATGTCAAGGAGAGGTGATTTCCTGTGAATAACGACTTAAAATTTCAGTGTGTCCATTAAAAAAGCTACTATGTGACTTCAAAAGAATGGGAAGTTCAATGTTAAAGAAGCCCTTGAAATGTAGAGCTATCGCTCTCTCTATATACCATGATAATCGATGTTTCATAATTGAACTTCTTCCACAGAAGTCATTGACTTCAAAAGCAGTGCCACAACAGAAATAATAATTGAATTCATCTTTTTTTGTTCCGTTTCATTGTTGCCGCAATACTGGAACGTACGCAGTTCCAAGCAGTCTTATTTCTTTGGTTCATCTTCCACAATAAACAAAATGGTGGTTGCTGATGACAAACAGGCCATCACTCCTAATATTTAGCTAAGTTAGATATATAGGCCTATGTGCAGAATAGCAATACATTTGATCTGTCGTTCACTAACTGAGCACATCTATAAAAGAATAATGTGGTGGTCTCAAACTGCTCTATTTAATGGTGACTCACTGTGGACTATGATAAATGGTACTGTCTGGTAAACAAGGCTAAGATTTAAGTGGTGTAGAAGATTGGTGATTATTCTCCGAAAAATGTGTGTGGGCTATCCTCATTCGATCCCTACAAAACAAACAAGCACACTCATTCTCTGGTGATGCCCAGTATTGACCCGTCGACTAGAAAGAATGACCTAGCAAAACTGTTTCGTCCTCACAAATGTGCAGGATACATCAAGTACAGTCTGTTCAAATTTCACAAAGGACAAATAAGACGTTTTAATCGTATTACATACGATTTGGCGCTCCAGGATTTGTGCCACTGTAAGAGTCAATCTAGCAATTTCATTTTTGATACAATCCTGCAGAAGATTAAGTTTACCACTCACCGATTCCTATTACAAGACTGCTGTTCATCATGTGTTTCCTGTCACTTTTGTTCTCTCTCTTTAGTTGTTGTCATTACCCCAACAGTGCGTGTATATTTTCTTACCAGTGCTTATTAATTATCCCAGATCATGTAGAGATACATTCAAGTAATGGATTCTATTAAGGACAAAAGATCCATCATGATCATGAAACAGCCTTCGGCTAAGAGAGTGAAAAAGGAGGACATTCATTTTGTTGATTATAATTACATAGAAGAGACTCAGCGACGGGCTACAGGTTACGGCCTCTAAAACTACACATCTTCAGATATGATTGGCCTGTATTAGTTTGCTTTATCTCAAGGAGGGTTAGGGAGCTCGCAGTGATCTTTCTCTAGTTAATTACAGGCAGTGGATTTATGCGGACAAAAAAATAGCAAATTTGCCAGTGCTGAGAGTCAGCACCTCCTACTGAGGTGTCAACCGTATACACCAACCTGTCAAAGAAACACACAATACAAGCCTATCATTGAAATATCTTGTAATGACTAGGATGTGAGAGATGAAGCCAGCGATCAAACAAATATCTACATAACAGCAATGAAATATTCATTAAAATCATCAGTTTTATGTATGTGTTGCAGCAAACACATATTGTGCCTAAATATGAATTTCTCTATAAAACTAAAATTGCAACCAATTTAAATGAGCTAATAATTTTAAAAGAGTTGGAACAGATAGTAAAGGAAAAGCAGCCAACAAGGGAACCGGGATACATGGGAACTCCTTCAATATAATTGAAAAAGCATCCCAGGTGGCAACTCATGAAACTGCTTGAGAGAATGCCCAGATTGTGCAGAGCTATTATCAAGGTAATAGGTGGCTAAATTGAAAAAGCTAGTAAAATAGATATGAAGTAATAAAAAATTCAATACATAATTAGTAATAGGTAAAAGTATATTCCATATGTATATATACACTGTAATATATAAAATGCATAAAAGTACATTCTGTTATCTGTGAAAAAAACAAACAAAAAAAAAAAAAAAATATATATATCCATGCCACGCCGAATTGAGGCAGTAATTAAAGCAAAAGGAGACCCTACCAAGTATTGAGTACAAGTACAGTAAATGAACATACTTTCCAGAAGGCCAACAATTCACAAAAAAAAATTTTTTATTGGTCTTATGAAGTATTCTAATTTGTTGAGATAGAGAATTGGTGGGTTTTTGTTAAATGTGAGCCAAAGTCATCACAATTAAAATAACCAAAGACTTAAACTACTTCAGTCTGTGTGCATTGAATTTATTTAATACACAAGTTTCACAATTTGAGTTGAATTACTGAAATAAATTAACTTTTCCATGACATTCTAATTTATTGAGATGCACCTGTATATGAGAACACATACATACAAATTTATTTTCCTAGCTAAATTGCAGAACTCCAACTAGTTTTTATTTGAAAAAAAAAAAAACTTCTCTCCAGAAAAACAAGACACACAAATAACATACCTGACCTCTGCTGTCATTAATTTTAATTGCCTGTTTATAGCGAAAGCTGATTATTTTCTTCATACATACACATAAAGCTTATGTACACAAGTTCTGAGAACAGACCTCACGGTTATGCTTATTCACTGAGAAGAGGGGATTATCAGGTAGACATGTAAAGCTTTATGTCAATATTTGTAGGTGGCAATTGGAGGTATGTTCAAAGAACAACACTTATGGAATTCTTCTCTAAATAACCATTCAGTTAGGGAGTTAAAGTTATTGATTAGAATAGACGGCCAATGATAATATGCAAAGCTAACAGTAGAATTAATGTTTTCCTCACAAACAAAAAAAATAATATACCATATTAATCGATGCCCATTTAACACAATAAAAAATGAGGCTTGCAGAGTGGTCATTTGCACGCACAACTATGATGTAAAATGTTATTCCACATGGACATTATCAGTAATTATGCTGCTGAGCAGGATGGAAAAAAATTTAATTTTTTACTCCATAAATTTAGACCACAAATGGAGTCACTCCTCTGAAGACACTCCAATTTTTGCAGTTTACAGTTATTTTGACTTATTTGCCCACCGTGAAGAAAATACATCAATACATATGAAAGTAACAATTAAACTCCATAAAAATTTATATTTAGATCCACTTAAACGTGGCTGTATTTAAAGGGGTCATATGATGTTGCTAAAAAGAACATTATTTTGTGTATTTGGTGTAATGAAATGTGTTTATGCGGTTTAAGGTTAAAAAAACACATTATTTTCCACATACTGTACATTATTGTTTCTCCTCTATGCGCCGTCGATTTTTACAAAGCTCATCGTTCTGAAAAGCAAGGTGTGCTCTGATTGGCCAGCTATCCAGTGCGTTGTGATTGGCCGAATACCTCAAGCGTGTGACGGAAATGTTACTCCCCTTACCATACTGTGATGCCGTGTGCTGGAGTGACAAGACAAAACCTATAAAACCCATTACAAACGAGGCATTTGTTGCATCAAATGGGGACATAATTACGGATTATAATGACTTATACTGTCTTTTTATGCGTTGCATCGCGCCACGTAAACATAAAACCATGTCTGCATTTGTGAATGGAGAAATGACAAACAATAAGCGCTACTCTACACATTTGAGTTCTACTGCTCAAAACTCACATTTGAATCATCAGTGGCAAATTCTTTAAATATGAAAACTTACTTACAGGCTGTGAGTCAGAACAGACAGCATTGTAGGCTACTCTTCCAGGTTCAGGAAACAGTCCTCCATAAAATGTGCTGCACACATCTGAATATTTGGGTTGATCTGTTCTGGAACAGTGTTGTAAATACAACTTAACCACTGATTTCTAGTTGTGTCCTCTTTTGGAAGGCCAAACAAAGTATTTTCGCTTTCGCAACGAAACACACAGCGTCTTCACAACATGGCGGCGGAGGTGGCAGCAACAATAAAGTTCCTCCTTTCTTTCTTTGCATGAACATTTGGGCGGCGTTATGCAAATCTTCCCACATCGTGACGTAGACATGTGGGGGCGTGTTTAAACGAGCCGTTTTATGAGGGCGTGGACTAGTCTTAACTTTTATAAAGAATATCTCGCTGGGTTTGAGACTTTAGTCTTTGCAACTTTAGGGATCTTATCTATTCACGAACAGCTTGTAACACTCCAAAGAGAAAGGAAAACTTGAAATCGCATCATATGATCCCTTTAATCTCACACTCGATCCTGCACTCCAACTGCTATCTATAGCCTATAGGCTAATTCACAGAATGTACTCTAATTCCTTAAAAGGGACACACACATGTAGAGCTAGAATCTCTATTTACATAATGAAACATTAAAAAGGTTTTTACTAACGTTTGATGATTTCATAGTCATTAGTAACACATTCAATTCATATTTTCAGTATGACTGCAAACATATACTGTACATGTATGAAAAAGTGATCTAAGCTTTAAGCAATAGCGTAAAATTGCATGCAGTGGCCTAGAGATTCAAAACATTTCTGACATTTTGACAGAGTGGTTGAGCCTTCTGAAGTCAAAATATAGTGTCACGAATATGGATGTAAACACAAATTCATATCATCAGTATTAATACACATTATCAGTAAAGAGGACAAATGCAATACTTCAGAGCTTCAAGTCCCTCCTCAAAACTAAAAACCAAACTAGGTACAAATATAATGATAATTAGTTTATTATCAATGAAAAACATTGCAAATCATGATGAAATAAGCAGTTGTTGATAAAACACTCACCTTTTACAATTAACTGAATGAGTTTTGGGCGTAGATTACGTTCACTTTGTATCGAGCAGGTGTACAAGCCCTCGTCCGTTACATCCACTTTCTGTATCTGTAAGCTGTATTCATGTTTATCCCCCACATTTGATACGATGGACACGCGAGGATCCCCTGACCACTTGTCATTCCCTGCGTAAATGATACTGGAACGATTCAACCATGCTCCTTTTGAGATCCCATCCAACAGGTAGCATCTGAAACCAGAAAGAAAGCAGATAATTAAAGACCCCTGTGGTGAAAATCAAGCTTTTAACATTGTGTACATGTCTATCTGCTGTTTTTAAAATGCTTCGAGACAAACCATGACCAAATGCATCGGTCAACATCATTGCTGAGCATTTTTTCACTAAAACTCCAGTGTACCAAAGACAGTCTCAAAAATGTGGTTTGAATCATACCATCATAAACATGCAACCAATCCTGTCAATTTGCAGGGTGGGGCTTTTCATATCATTAGCTGTTTGAGATGGTTTTTGTACCATTAGCAACACATTATTAGCTGACATTGTAGAGAGCAATACATAAAATACATTTCCATTCTGATACATCGACTTGCAGATGACACTGTATAACTTGCACTTCCTCATTTTCAGAATCAGTTTCAGCGGAGAGTCATTTGCATATTCATGATTCCACGTATACTAAATGAGGTGAGGATGTAGAGTTATATTCAAGCCATTTTGAGGCATGAAAAAATGATTTTCATGGGTAAAATGATTAAATATGTCATTTTGATTATCAAAGATGAGTTAAAGAGATAAAACTTGTGACTGTGGGGGGACTGAGGACAAGGACAACGGATGTTATTATGCATGTAATTTCAGATATACACAGATCAAGTACATATATACCAAAAATGTGATTTACAGTTTGCAAAAAATAGTTAAGAAACAACCCGTTTTTCCACGTATAACACTCCATACTGATTAGTGGAAGCAAATAGAAACAAACAAACAAACCAAAAATGGTTCAGATCTACTTTTTATGTTAGATATTGAGGAAAGTTAAACTAAAATGTTTAATAAACACCACTTGCAAACCATACAAACTACATCAGCCCCTGGTGTGCACAAAAGATACCATCAAAAAGCAACAACAACAAAATAACTATTTAATATTTAAAGCAGTGGTTCCCAGCTGGTGGGTCGTGACCCAAAAATGGGCCGTAGGTCTGTTCTAAAACAGCACAGAAAAAAAACTATGTTAAATGCAAATAATAAAAAGCAGCTAACTGTATAATCATGCATTCAGGACAGCAAATTAAACAGGCCTATCAACATTTCAAGAAAACGCTTAAGGAGAAAGGAGAAAATGCTTTCCATATCTTTTGTTGTTGACGTCAAAAGCTATGCGGCCCAATTAAACTCCACATCACTTTGCAGAAGCCAAATTATGCTGATGCCATCATGGACAGCTTGCATGAAAAGGCCTCTTCCTTAAAAACCATGTTTTTGATTTTGTTTCAAGGTCATTTCATTTTGTTTTTCATTTTTGGATTCCTGTCTTCTGTATTCATTTAAACATGACGTGTTCAAATTAACAGTTCTGACCTCTAAACAAAAGACTTCAAAACAGCAAACAAACAAAAAAACGATGGCTTAGAACTTCAATCTGATACCACATCTAACATCTAGGCTATTTGTTGTTTGTCAGCAGCGGTGTGAGTGTCTATGCTGTGAGTTATTTACACCGGATACTCTTGAGGTTAAAGGTGAAATGGGAGTCAACATATCCGTCAGTACATTGCAGGTCTCAACTCACTGTCTCAAAGTTGACTGGATCTTTTGGAAATATGCTGGATATGTTCTCATGCCACACACACACACACACACACACACACAAAAAAAGCTGATTCTATGAAACAGGATTTAACACTGTTTCACTAGGGCTTGTTAAAAAGTATACACAGAATGATGAGACAAGATTTGAAACGATACAGTTCAGTTATGATTATAAAGAGAAAAGCCCACTTGAGAATGTGATTTAGGGCGGATCTTATTAAAAATGTATTGATGCTTCTAGAATACAACCTCTTAAATTAAAAACATTTCATAATGTCAAATTGCATGTTGTGTACAACGTTGTAAATCCAATAAAAGCAACTATTAAAAAATTCATTATTGTGATTATTAGTATACCATTTGTATCATCTTCAATCTGAAATGCATGACATCTGAAATATTAGTGATATGTCATAATTTGTCTATTTTATGCATGCCACATCCCTGAATTTTAATGACAGATAATAGGTACGTAGACCTACATTCATACGCATATCTAATTAACGGCAATAGAGATGATATATTCTTCACATTAACATTAATGGCACAAGAGATATGAGACGGTGCAACAGTTACACTTAAATAAATAATTATCTAAATAAATAAATACTTGTGCTAAATAAGCACACATACTGTATATAACCATGACTTCAGATTAAGTGTTCAACCAAACATGCACAACTACAACTGCAGAACGTGGAAGCACATTCTAAGGATAAATGTTAATGCTCAACTCTGTCTTACAAAACCCAAAGTTATTCTTTTGAAATGTTTAATGCTTATAAACATCTCATGTAGTTTCCATATTCCTTGGGCAAAATAGGAGTTGAGGCAAAAGTTGTAGTTTGGTTTGGTCCCCAAACTAATGTGTGACCCTTTTTTCTATGGAACATAAAAGAAGACATTTGGAGATTTTTTTTTTTGTGTGCAAGCAATGGAAGTCAATGGTAACCAAAACTGTTTGACATATGTTTGAAATGACAGTAAATGATGACAATTTTCCTTTTTGAACGGACAATCTCTTTAAGAGCGTGATTTGCAATGTTATCACAAAGTCAACACAATATTTACAATCTAATTAATGTAATAAAAAAATCAGACATTTGTGCAAAGAAATGGTTGATTATAAATAGAACAAATATTTTACAAATGGCTACTAGCACTACACAGTTAAATTATATTACCATTTATAAAATCAAAAACGCAACAGACCACTAATAAATGATGTGATACAAACTGATCAATTCTAAATTATGTGCTACAAGCTAAACTCTTTTGATTTTCCTGTAAAAGCTCCTCAGGCAGACTGCTCTACATCACTGACAATGAGGTTTCATCACCATTTCTAACCCTGAAACAGCAGGATGACTGGTGTCAAAGCACCACAGAGATCTACTCGGACATACCTCACAATAACTGCCCACAAAGGCATTATAAGTGCTTCCTACTGAGGTGTAGGCTACTGTGTAAGAAAGAGTATGGACCTCCATGTGTGCTATATTTCCTTTGTACCACCTGGAAGGAACAGGTGGAAAGGTTCAAAGCTGATTTTATGAGCCTACTAGCTAGTCTTTGAACCCTTGGACTGTAGGACTTAAAATGTCTCCACGATCTGCTTTTGAAGAAATATCGTAGTATCGTGCTACAGCGCATATTCTATCAGTTGCAGTTCTGGCACCGCAGTATCAATATACTGTACAATGCCACATACATTCACATCAGTGTTAACTCAGCGGTAGAGTTACACTCACAGAACACTGCACTTATTCGTAATCACAAAAGTACATTATTTGCTTTAAAGCCTTACTGGTTAAATATTTCATTCACGTGCTGTTCTGGCGTGCACTTCGCGTACACCTGAAACACGCGCGCTAAAGAAGCCTGTCAAACAGCGCCTGATTACTGAACTAAGTTATCTTTTGCGCTAATATTGTCAAAACACACAAGGTTTACATATAGACTCAGTTGGTTATGTCTAAAATGAGAGTAAATAGTTGAGAGAAAAACGGATGCTGCCTGTATATTAGATGCGTGCAGGTCTTAAATCGAAAGTACTAAACATGCTGCCGATTGTCATTAAAGGGATAGTTCACCCTAAAATTTAATTTCTGTCATTATTTACTCACTCAGATGTTGTGCCAAACCTGTATTAATTTCTTTCTTGTGCTGAACACAAAAGAAGATATTTTTTTTATACTGTTTTGCAACTGTTTGGTTTTTCACATTCTTCAAAATAACTTTTATGTTCAGCAGAAGAAAGAAACTCATTCAGGTTTAAAACAACTTTGGAGTGAGTAAATGATGGTATCAACAACAACAAAAAAAACACTATGACAGAATTTTTATTTTTGGGTGAACTATTCCTTTAATGTTAATAAAACAACAAAACACGAAGAGAAAAATCCCTCACTACTCTTGATGGAAAAACTTGAATACAGTTGCTTTAAGAGGAATCAATCTATATAGTGTTTTATTTTTATATTTGTTCATTCAATGTCTTGAATGCTCCTGATAAATACACCTACTGTACCTGAAAATAAAGCACTGTTAGTTTTATTTGTATATTATGCGTATTTGCAATGTGTATCTTTGTTCTAATTTTTTAATAACTAAGATAAAATAATGACTAAGTTTTTTATCTTCGCCCACTTTGGCCTAATTATACACCATTCTTGTTTATATTTTGTTACCTTGAAAGGTTTTGTCTTTATAATAGGGAAATTAGTTTGGCTGTACTGCTCAGAAAAAATTGTAAAACCAACATGACAAAGAATTGTAATAAAATTGTAAATCGTGATATGATATTTTTGCCATATCACCCACCCCTACTTCCAACCAAACAGTTGATGGTCCCTCTGACTTTTTTTTCCCATAGTATGGAAGTCAATGGGGAACATCAACTGTTCATTTACCTCAAAATATCTTCTTTTGTGTTCAGCACAAGAAAGAAACTCATGCAGGTTTAGAACAACTTGAGAGAGAGCAAACGATGACAATTTTCATTTTTGGGTGAACCATTTCTTTTACTGTTTTTTATGTATATAGCAGAGTAACTAAACCATACACTGAACCTTTCTTTAATAATTCACGGCAAATTTTTAGCCTGGTTTTACATTTGTAATATGTTTGATATATATTTTTAGACATATATTTGTATTGACATCGTACCTACCATGCAGAAAATGTGCAAAGTAGATTTTTATCATGAAAAAAAACATCACTTTTCTTAAAATATCTCTTTTATCATGAGCATCTTTCAAATCACAGGCAGCTGTATGGCAGATGTCAGTTTACTTGCTGACACATCTTACCCCGCTGTCCCCTACCCCACAAAACCACTGCAGCCCTATGTATTTTGCATCCAAATATGTATTTTCAGGCCAATGCGCATTGTTACCAATTTAAATAAGCAT